GTGTGTATGGATGTGTATGCGTGTCTGTGTATGCGTGTCTGTGTGTATGGATGTGTATGCGTGTCTGTGTGTGTATCCGTGTGTATGCATGTGTATGTATGCGTGTCTATGTGTGTGTCCGTGTGTATGCGTGTTTATGGATGCGTGTCTATGTGTGTCTATGTGTGTATGTGTGTGTATGGATGCGTGTCTATGTGTGTCTATGTGTGTATGTATATGTATGTGTGTCTGTGTATACGTGTGTATGCGTGTGTATGTATGCATGTCTATGTGTGTATACATGTGTATGCGTGTGTATGTGTGTATGCCTGTGTGTGCATGCATATGTGTATGTGTGTGTGTATGCGTGTGTGCACGTTTGTGTGTGTGCATCTGTATGTGTGTATGATTGTGTATGCGTGTATGCGTGTGTGTGCATTTGTGTGTGCACATGCGTGCGCATCTGTAGGTGTATGCATGTGTATGCATGTGTATGTTTGTATGTGTGTGTATGTGTTTATGCATGTTTGTGCATGTGTATGTGTGAATGCCTGTGTATGTGTGTATGGTGTGTGCGCGTGCGTATGTGTGTATGGTGTGTGTGCATGCGTATGTGTGTATGCGTGTGTATGTGTGTATGCGTGTGTGTCCAGGCATATGTGTGTATGTGTGTGTGTGTGTGTGTGCATGTGTGTGCATGCGTATGTGTGTATGTACACCCCATTTCACCCTCTTTGAGAAAGATAGGGATACCTTCTCAATCCGCTATGGAGATGCCCCATCACTTATTGCCAATTATGTTTAAACTATACAGGTTGAGGCTGCAATGACCTGCAAGAATCTCACTCACTGGCTTTCTCCAGAAAACCTGAGGGAGCATAACGTGGAAATATATATGCCTCGCTTCACGTTAGAAGCCTGCTATGATCTCAACCTGACATTGCAAGGACTGGGTCTAACTGATGTATTCAGCGAAGCAAAAGCTGACCTCTTGGGAATGTCCTCCTCCCGCCAACTCTTCTTGTCCACAGTCGTTCACAAAGCTTACATGGAGGTCAATGAAGTAGGGACTGAAGCAGCAGCTGCAGCAGGTGTTGCAATCTCCAACAGATCCTTAGAACACTATGAATTATTTGTGGCTGATCACCCCTTCCTCTTCGGCATTCTGCACAACCCTACCAACACTATTCTTTTCCTGGGGAAACTCTGCTCTCCTTGAAACTCAAATGGTTTTTTTTCTTGAAGCTTATTAAAGCATACTGCAAAGCACACATTTCTTTGGAGTCACTTGATTATAACGGCAGCGCTCCAAATAGCTCTTGATGGCTGGGCCTCACAGTACCTTGAAGGGTCACCTAGAGCAGGGCTATTCTTATGTTATGAATAGAATGACTATTGCTACTTCGTTACAGCTGGTTGAATTCTAGACCTGAAAAAAATGGGCTATGCTACAACAGCTTAATAACTGCCACAAAGAGAAATGTTTAGCACACAGAAAAAAGGATATGCATTACACAGTGAATATAGTACTGAAAATTAAAATCAGCCAAAAAAAAAATGCTGAGATGGAGTTTTTAAAAAGGAATGTTGAAATTGGACAAATGAACCCATCTATGATTAAAGCTTGCACACATTTTCTATTGCAAAGCTTAGGGAATGTTTTTTTTTTAATCATTTGAAGCCCAGCTGGGTTCTCCAGTTCTCATTCTGGATCTT